ATATTTATGTATTATTAATTATATATATATTTCCAAAAATACATTGCCATTGCCTTGGTATTTAATAGCCCCTGGAGGTTTAGCCAGTCATTTTTGAATCCGTGTAAAACTTGTGGTAACGACCAAAGGTTTGTGTCCTGAGTCAGTGAGCTTGGTGTGAGTCAGGTGTATCCCTAGTGTAAGATAGGTTGGGAAAGGCCTGCGAGGTTCTGCTGTCAAAGACTTTTCCTTGTGGCCCAGGTTCTGCCTGTGCTTTCATAGTTTTCCCTTTTTGAGAAATATTTGGGTTTGTGAGAAGAGAGTTTGTAAGCTGCTTTACAAACCATCCGTGCTTCATATTTTAGCAATAATTCCTGTGCTTGTGTGAGCTGGTTCTGCTGACCTCTTATTTACAGCCCATTTGTGGAACTCCTTTAAGCTCAGATGTTGCTGGTGAGTAGTGGGGCTCCTTCCATATTTATTTGTGTTTTCTCTAAACCCCATTGAATTTAAGAACGATGAATAGTCATTTAAGATGTGCAGTCTTATTTTGGTTTCTACCTTTGGGGTCTTGCTAAATTGTTGACTTCACAATAGCGTGATATTGTCAGGCTGGTCTCATTTTTCCCTTTCTTCTTGACTTTCAGGAGCAGATAGTCCAACCTGTAGCAATGGAGTCATGTCCACAAAAAGCAAACAGAGTCACAGTAAATATCCGACACTGAGTTCATCATCTTCATCTTCCTCCTCCTCCTCCCCCTCATCTGTGAACTACTCTGAGTCCAATTCTACAGATTCTACCAAATCTCAGCAGCACAGTAGTACGAGTAACCAAGAAACCAGGTATTGCTTTTCCTTCATGGATCCCTGAGGAGGGTGAGGTGGGGGGAGAGGGCTCAGTCTGCTCTCTGAAGAGCCAGAAGGGTATCTGTCCTGCTCTTTTGAACAGCAGAGTAGCTCCCATTATCTACAAGGTCACTGCTCTTCCCAGCCAACACAAGTTCCCTGGCTCTGACTTCAGCTTGGAGGCTCATCTCGTAAGGACTATTATGATGCTCTTGTTCCAAACACCAGGCTGTCCCATTAAACTGCTGCTGTCAGAGCCCAACGTGACAGTTTGCAGAGAAGCTCTCCTGCTGAGCTCTTCCTGCTGCCGTGCCGTGGGTGAGGCAGCAGCTCAAGTGTTTACCGGTTCGGTCCATTGCCCTCTTGAGTAATCATAGACTCATAGAATCATGAAGGCTGGAAAAGACCTCAAGGATCATCAAGTCCAACCGTCAACCCAACACCACCCAACCCACTAACCCATGTCCTGAAGCACCACATCTACACGTTTCTTGACCCCCTCCAGGGATGGTGACTCCACCACTGCCCTGGGCAGCCTGTTCCAATGCCTGAGCACTCTTTCAGGGAAGAAATTTTTCCTAATATCCAGCCTGAACCTCCCCTGGTGCAACTTGAGGCCGTTTCCTCTTGTCCCATCACTTGTTCCTTTAGAGCAGAGCCCAGCACCCCCCTCACTGCACCCTCCTTTCAGGCAGTTGTAGAGAGTGATGAGGTCTCCTCTCAGCCTCCTCTTCTCCAGACTAACCAACCCCAGCTCCCTCGGACGCTCCTCGTCAGGCCTGTGCTCCAGACCCTTCCCCAGCTCCGTTGCCCTTCTCTGGACCTGCTCCAGCCCCTCAATGTCCTTCTTGTGGTGAGGGGCCCAAAACTGACCCCAGGATTCAAGGTGCGGCCTCACTAGTGCCGAGTACAGGGGCACAATCCCTGCCCTGGTCCTGCTGGCCGGTGTTCTTGGGCTGCCTCTGCCTGTTGCCCAGTTGCTTCCAGATGTGCCTTTGAATCAGCAGTCATTTGTTCCATGCTTGTTGACAGCAGGGCAGCCTTTGAGAAAGCCTCCCTTCCCCAGGGAGCCGTGGGCGGTCCGGGAGGGCGGGATAGTTATGGAGCCATGGTGAGAGCTGAGCTTCCTTTGGGCTGGCTTTACAGGTCGGTGCTGGAGGGCTGTCTGAGGCCCTTCTGGAGCAGAGGATATCCTTGTGATGAGTAGAATCTCCTGCTAATTGCAGCTGGCGCTCCTCGTCTGAGTACTGTGCTGAGCACAGTCTGCAGGACAGTTTGTAGTCTCTGTCCTGACCTCTTGAGAGCCATAAAACATGGAACTGAGCGAGAAGCACTTGTTCATACTCAGTTTACCAGAATCACTTGATAATGCTGGATTGATGATTCTTTTTTTAAATTCAGAGCCCAAGTCTCAGCAAGGTTTTCCCATCGTTTCGGTTAATCGGCAGTTATCATCAATCTCATTCAGCTGCTGTCTTGAACGTTTAAGCCGGGGGTCCTCGTGTTCTGTCTTGTGCTTTTTTGCAAGGGTTGATGGTTTCCCACAGCCAAGGTTTTCCTCCTGTTTAGTATGTTAGTGTGTCTTCTGTTGTCTGGCTGCTGCTTGCTGTCCTGGAGACGGCTGCTTACCGAAGGGAAAATGATCAGTGCTCTGCTCCTGTAATGATGACGGGCACTTTCCAACAGAAACCCATTTCATCAGTTGTCTTCAGATCCCTGTAGATTTTTGGTACACTGAATTAGACCATCTGGGCTCCCTGTAGCCCTGCTGGCACCTTTCCTAGTTTAGTGGCCGTGGCTGGGCATCATTTGGCATCTGAGCTCTTTGGTTTTTCCCTTTCTAATGTAGATATCTGGCCTTTCTTTCCTCCTTTCACCTCAGTGACAGCGAGATGGAAATGGAGGCTGAGCATTACCCCAACGGAGTCCTGGAAAATTCATCCACCAGGATAATGAATGGCACCTACAAACACGAAGAGATCCTGCAGACGGATGAATCCAGCATGGGTAGGGCCCCAGAGGCAGGAGGGGTAAAGGGAAATAGAAAGAACTGGTACAAGAGTTACAGGTGTGATTGGGTTCTGGGGAAAAAAACATCTACTTGGGTTTTCTTTCCCCACCTCAGTGAATGAAGTTCTCAGGATGCCTGTTTCATGGGGAAATGAGTCTGTCCTGAAACTAAAACTAGGGCTGACTTTTCGTGGTCTCGCAGCAGTGCTGGTGATGTTACAGAGCAGGAGAAGCAATAGGAGTCAAAGGTTTGTTCAGCGCTGGTCACAAATTCCAGCTCGGAGCAGTCCTGGCACTTCTGCCAGCTGAGGACCTGCAGCGAGCTGGGGAAGGCTGGCTGGTGCCCAGCACGGCATGCTCAGCTCCAGCTGTCGTGTTTGTGGGGGATTTAGCTAGGAGGGAATGAATTAGCTACGCTGCCTCTGAAACTGGGGGTTCCTCCAGTTATAATGGGGCTTGTGGCCACCTAGCACTGGGAGGTCGGTGGCCTTGGCGTCTCTGACTGAAAGTTTTCTGAGCGCAGGGTTTATTAGACCAGGGGTTTCTGCTCTGTCACACACGGGAAAGGGTGACAGTTGGGAGTTGCAAGCTCCCGTGATTTTATCAGAGTACTTGGTCTGCAGGTAGTCTTCAGGCATTAACCAAACTGAGCTCGAGCTTTCCCCGTACCTGTCAGGTGCTATGAAAAAACCACCACTGGCTGTTGCACTGCAGCGATCGGAAAATGTTTTTGCTGGGGTAAACTCAGAGCAGGGAGGAGCTGCCTGCTCCAGAAGGGGAAGGAGTTTATGGGTGAGGAGTGAGAAATGAGTGTCACTTCTCCACTTTCCTCTAGAAGACAGCTGTCCCCAGAGGCAGCTCTGTGGAGGGAACCACGCTGCCACGGAACGAATGATCCAGTTTGGACGGGAGCTGCAGATGCTGAGCGAGCAGCTTTGCAGAGAATATGGGAAGAACACAGTGCACAAAAAGATGCTTCAGGTAAGCCTGGGCCTTGCGCTGCGTCCCAGCAGTTCTCTGAGCCAGGACTGGGGTGGGGGTTCTCTTGCAGAGCTCTGGGTGGCCCTGCATGGGGATCGGAGGTCGAAACTCAGTGAACGCAAAGCATCTAGACCCAGTTCTCAGCACAGGAGAGAAGAAATACAGCTCCTGCCTGCCTTCGCTCTTCTTCTCTCCAGGTGCCACTCTACCTGCCTTCCCGTGCTGGCTCCCCTGCCAGGTGGAGGGGGCACCCTCTTTAGTCCACTATCTTGCTGGCCCAGTGTGGTCCCTTGGTGCCAAGAAGAAAAGGGACATTCCTTTTCAGGAGGTAGGCACCTGTCACCTTGGCGATGGCAGGAGGTGCCCTGGCTGATGGACTCGGCGGTTTTCCTGTGTGTTTGCAGCCATGCGTGACCTTACTGTGCCTTTCTCTTCTCTCATACAGGACGCCTTTAGCTTGTTAGCTTATTCAGACCCTTGGAACTGCCCTGTCGGTCAACAGCTCGACCCAATCCAGAGGGAACCTGTGTGTGCTGCTCTTAATAGTGCTATATTGGGTAAGGTTCCTGTGCGAGCGCTGCCCACGGGGCGTACCTGCTCTCAGGGCTGTCCTGCGGCAGGTGAGCCTGAGAGCGGTAGGAAAAGTTCAGAAATAACCCGTGCCCTGCGTGGCAGGGCAGTGATGCAGGAAGGCAGGCATGAGGGAAGCCTGCAGAGAACAGATCCACCTGAACTAACCTTCTTTTGGCTCCCGTCCTTGGCTCCTCCTCCGTGCTACTTCCAAGGATGCTCCTTGGGATTTTCCTCCCCCACTCACTGAGGAAGACAAAATATCTTCAATGCATTTCCTGCCCCTCATCCTTCTTCCTCCAAGCCCACCTGAATCAGTTTGCTGGCATTAGTAGGGATCTTTTCCATGCTGTCTGGGTTGGCAGAGTTCTGTCCTGGCATCATCCCAATTTCTGGTAGGGAAGGCGGTTGCTCTGTTGCAGCAGCTTGTAAGTGAGGCTAGCTTCCATGGCATTGGCTCGAAAGCAGAGGGGGGCCATAAATCCAGTTACCTTTGGTCTCGTGTTGGGCATGCAGACTTAAGTGGGTCTGCCTTCACTTCGAGCATTGCCTCTGCATGTTCCCATCATGTGCAACGCCTGCTAGAGCCCAGAGAGCCTGGCTGCTCGCAGTCCAGAGTTGGAATCGGGGCTGTAGTAGTTGTCCGACCCTGGTGCTCTTTCCCGTCTGGTTGTAACTGTGCTGAGAAGACCCTGCTCTGTGCAGAGGTCTGGCTATAGTTGGTTTTTTTCAGCTAACGAGACAACTCCCCTTTCTCTGATGAGCTTTGCTCTCTGTGTCAGCAGGATGCACCATGGCTGGATCCAGATATGAGCAGTCTCTTGCCCTCCTCTGAGTCCTCTGAGCTGAATGCTTGTGCCTGTTTCCCATTTTCCTTAGACGAGAATGTTGCTTGGCCCAACCGCTTGGTGTCATTTACTCTCTAATCTTGAACCTGGTCTAGTAAATGCAGTAGCTTTCCCTGATGGAAGTCCTGTGCTTGCAGTCAATGAGTTGCCATGTCATTGCTGACCCTCTTGGCATCTTCAGCTACAGAAAATCCCGTGGTGGAGAAATGGGTACAGCGATAATGAGGTTATGGCCTCTCGCCAGTCTGCAAGAAAGGGATTGTTTCATTCTAGGCAGGGCCCGTGATCCTGTCACCAGACCGTCACCATGCTGTGTCCTTATAGAATCACAGAATCATTAAGGCTGGAAAAGGCCTCAAGGATCATCAAGTCCAACCATCAACCCAACACCACCCAACCCACTAACCCATGTCCCGAAGCACCACATCTACATGTTTCTTGACCCCCTCCAGGGATGGTGACTCCACCACTGCCCTGGGCAGCCTGTTCCAGTGCCTGAGCCAATGGCTCATCACCCTTTCAGTGAAGAAATTTTTTCTAATATCCAGCCTGAACCTCCCCTGGTGCAACTTGAGGCCGTTTCCTCTTGTCCCATCACTTGTTCCTTTAGAGCAGAGCCCAGCACCCACCTCACTGCACCCTCCTTTCAGGCAGTTGTAGAGAGTGATGAGGTCCTTGCTCAGGTAACTTCACAGGACAGGCCCTGGTCTGGGTCAGCTCTGTCCAGCCGCAGCCTTCAGGCTTCTCTGTCCTGGAAACCCCCCTGGACTCACTGTACCCAGGCGCGTCTCCTTGTGGGTCAGTGCACCTCGTGTTGAGTGAGCCAGAAGGAGGGTTAGAGATTGGCTTCTGGGGGAAGGAACAGCTTGATGGACAAACCCCTGAGGGCTCCTGTTCTGCCTGAGGAAAGGAACAGAAATTCCATGGTTTGGGAAGGGGAGTCCCTTCCCCTGGCAGCCAGCGTGGGCTCAGTTCTCGTGGTTGTTTGTCCAGTGCTCAAGGAGCATGGACAAGTTGCTGAGAGGTGTCACCAGGGAGACGTGAAAAATGGTGTCAGGACATGCTCCGTCAGGCAGGTCACAGGACACCTTGTCTTGCTCAGCTGAGGGTTCCCTCTTGCATACATAGCGACCGTGAGCTGAAAAGCAGCGGTGACGGGGGAGTGCGCTTGTTGAGGGCTGTGTGGGCCTGCACAAGGGGGACATGGAGAGCTTGCCTCCCACTTGTTGCCGGGTTCTCCTGCCTTTCCTTACTCTTCCATGCTTTGATCTCTCACACCTTGAGGGTCTTCCAGCAGACCCTCAGGCAGCAGGAGCCCCACTGCCTGTTCCTTGCTCTGGCCACCACAGCGGTACTTTCTCAAGGGCCCTGTTGAGCTGTGGCCCCATGTGGGACGTGCCGTGGGTGGTGGGGTGTGCGGAGGAGCGGCTGTGCCAAGCCAGCGGTGCTCAGGACCAGCCTCCTTCCAGGGCCAGCGCCTTCCGCCAGGGATGCTGGGCTTGGTGCCCAGGTGGGACCGAGAGGGACCCAACTGCAGGTGAGCTGGCATGCAGCCAGGACATCTCTTCTAAACAGATTTCTTTTTTTTTTGCCCCCACAGAATCTCAGAACCTGCCAAAGCAGCCCCCGCTGATGCTTGCCCTGGGCCAGGCCTCGGAGTGTTTGCGGCTCATGGCTCGCGTGGGCTTGGGCTCCTGCTCCTTTGCCAGAGTAGACGACTATTTGCACTAGCCACCAGAGCAAGACGGCGTTGACATCGCTGAGTGCTGCCCTTCACCCTCCGTTGCTGCCACTCTCCACCACCACCTCGTTGGATAGCCTGACCTCCCTGCCACCAACGCCCCCTCTAGCACACCACACGCACGCTGCCTAGGAAAGGATCGAGTGAGTCCCTCAGTGTGTGGCTAATCCCGACCCCCGGGGCGGCTGGGG